ATAGCCGTCGTATATCATGTTTTTCTTCTAAATGCGTGTAATCATATTAGTAGTATAGCGTAAAATATTACATACTTGCAGTACATTGTCTGTGACTGGTGCCGGTAAATCTGGGTTATCGCGCGATGTTCGAAATACTGTTTTAATATTTTCCGCCGTTATCTATCAGATAAACGTTATGGTCATCAATCCTGTACACTAATATGATTATAAACGCGAAAGTTTGTTCGGACGGATGTTCGTTACCCTTTAACGCCGAAACCGCCGAACGGATCGAGTTGAAACTTTAGTAGTTCCGTACCGACTAAAACGTATTATGTGCTATATCCCCCACCCCCATCGCCCGTATCAAACTCCTGGTGTACGGGGCCGTTACACGGTTGTCGGTATTTTCGGCGCGGAAACCGAATTATTCTTGTTGATTTACGGGTTACCTAGGACGATGATTTTCTGTTTATTTTTTTCGGTACAGGCGACGCCTGATTGGACGGTTAGTAAAATATGTAAAATTTAGTAAAATCTAGTCAAATGTACATTAGATAATGTAGCACCTCGATTATTTTACTGCCATTTTGACGTATCCAAGTTTAAATAACTCGGACGAGTAGCGCAGAAAAACGATAACGGTGAGTACACACATACGTATGCACGTGAGCAGACCCGATCAATTATTGCGAAATCCGGAAAAAATAAACACGCGATGGACTCGATGTTGACTCTCTAATACGAATTTCAACCACAAATTTAAAAGCCGCGAATATCACAAATTATTAAACGGATGCCGGCAACGAAAAACCCGCTGGCTTGTTATTTTACATTTAAATACAAACACATTTATTAATATTTATATAATGTGCGTTATTTTAATAGACGCTGTTACAACTGTTTGCATTATAATTAGGGTCCGGATTTTAATGCGTCTTTCCAATTTTATAATTTGATTAATGTAACAGAGACTTCAAAGGTGAAACTTTTATTTCAACTTTTTCTGCTTTTTTTTTTTTTTTGAATTTGTTGAAGATTTTCGGTAATTTTTTTTTCGTTTTATTGCATATTTGTACAATACACAAGTGTAATATAATATAGTATTTGTACTTAATACGGCCATAGAATAAATCTACTCGGTATACCTTAATATATGATACACGGTTTAATAATTTAAATTTAGCTTATTTAAAATATTACCCGTGTTTTCGGGTTTTCCAGTCAATCAGTCAAACACGGCCCCTCTGTTGTCAATACTATCGTCACCGGTCACAAATCAAACTTCTCAATCATGTTTTTTTTTTTTTGATAAAACGAAAACGTAAATTACCCAATAAAACAATAAATCAAATAAATGTACGTGCCATTTTTTAAGGGTGTTTTAGGATTTTTAAGGATTTTTTTCGCGGTAAAATGCATTATTTCAGCGCATTTTTAGCTTTTATTTAGAGCATTTTTCGTTGATTATTAGTGTATTTTTACACTGAACCCTAATTAGAATTATTAAGGTACTGTAAACGTTTGTTTTATTAAATTCTGAGCGGAATGTATCGGTTTATTATTGTTTTTATTTAAATTCTGAGTGAAGCGAGTAATGGAATTGGTTTCATATAGTGTGTGCTTATTTATTATCCATTATTTTTTTTTTTTTTTTAATATTTAATCACAAAATGACAAGAAAACTTTACTGTCGCGTTATTTCCGATATACTAAAACAATATTATATCATTCGAATAATAGGCTAGTCAGTATAAAAAAAAAAAAACGTAAAAAAAATTATACATCCGACGGCTGTTGTTAGAAAATACTGTTTTATTGTACATTCGCAAATAATAATATTATCACTAAGATACCCCGCAGTTAGTTTTTTTTTTTTTTCTGTACGCTGTACAACAATAACGTTGACCCGTTATCGAAATGATTGTACTATCGATTAATCGTTCTATTGTTTATAATATCGTTTTAATATTATGCTTGTTTCCCGCGAACGGACTCGCAAATCCATTGCGGAAAGACCACCAAAACGACGGTCCGTATATGTCTGAAGACAACTGCGAGGTAAGTACAGACAATTTATCGCCCGTCGACCCGTAACATTATAACGACATTATAACCGGTAGATCGGGAACGATATTAACGTCGATCTCCTTTTAAGTTATTTTTTTTAAAACGCGTAGATAAATTTATGATTATTTTTATCTTCATAGATCATTATTTTGTTGCCGGTTTAGTTATACAGTTCAACAGTGTTTACACTGGTCATTTTTTTCTGGTATATTTAATTTATACAATTGTAGGAAATATTATTCTTAATAAAAGCGCGACGACAAATATTATTCGACTTGACATTTTAAATGTATTATATTTAGCAAATGCATGTTTATTGTTAATACCTATCAGAAAATCAATCATTTTAATATTTTTTACGGAAGTCGATCGTTCGACGAAAAACATATTCTTAGAAGATTTCCATCAAACAAAAAAAGTTCGCCCGCCCCTGATATATACTGTAGAGGGACTTTTAAGGCTCCCAGAATTCATTGGGGCCACACGGAAGGTTTCAGTCCTTTAAAATACTTTTTCGACAGTAATTGAAAGTAGTGTGCTACCTTTTTTGTACAGCGATACTTACAGCGTAAGGTTTTCTTTTGGTTAGTGATAAAAAGCGTATTATTATACAATAAGACTACATTTTTTTAATAGGAAAACTGCGCGAAATTCACTATATTTACTAAAATAAAATTATGAATTTATTGACTTAGTCTGTTGCAGTAAAACACATAGTATAATGTCTCTATAGTTTCTTTTCCTCTTATTGGAAACGTCAAATGTAAACAAATTGTTATTATATTTTATTGTAAGAACTAATGTTTTTCGGATTTCACAGTTTATAAGATTAATAAAATTAAAATATAATAATAAAACCTAAAAAAAGTTTAAAACTAAAAAAAGAGTAAAACTAAAATAAATTCCTCTCTGCTTAAAATCTAAAATCGAAAAATTACCTCTTTAAAGTACCTCCTTAGTGAAATTTTTTTTCAGAAATATTGCTATGATAAAAAGTCTGGACAATATTTCTGGTTGAAAAGTTGTGCACAGGAAAAAAGAAGGGCGTAATATATTTTAACTAATACCTAGGCTTCTAATATTTTCCGGTTTTTCAAATTTCATAAGAAAACTCCTTAGAAAATTGGAAAATGACCCTTTTTAAAGTACCTCTCTAGTGAAATTTCTTTTCAGAAACATTGCTATTAAAGTTGAAACGAAATTGTCAGTGGAAAAGTTATGCACAGATAAAAAAAAAAAAATATATATATTAACATCTCAAGTTATATTCTTCTTTACTCCATTCAAAATCTAAACGTTCCCGTCTGCAAATAATTAATATTATTATAGAAGTGAAACCACAAAAACTATAATTGTAAACTGTCGTGGATTTGTATTAATAATCAATACGAGAAACCCAACATATCCGTGATATTATTGCAGCGTAAGCAAGTAACAATACGGTTACACATCTGATAAGTCGTAATAAATACAATAAGAATTCTATATTCAATGGTTAAACGAAATACGATTAAAACGATAATAATGTGATATTCAGCAATTATTTTATTAGTTAGTTATTGATTTAGGGCAGAAGACTTGTAGCTTCCAAAAAAAATACGGACATCATACATCGCACTGTCGTCGGCGAGAAGTTAAGAAAGTAGTATAGAGAGAATTTAATGAACACCTGTGTACGCAACGATTAATCTTTGTCAACGAAAAACAATTATTATGAGTGAAGTTCAGTTAAACACAGTTGCGCCCCCTCCCACCGCCCCGAGAAAATTGAACTTACATTGGCATTTGGTATAGTCATTGGTCCAGAAGTAGATGTAATAGATATAATCAATATATTATTTGACAACATTTTTTACATTCTGAGTGTAGCGAAGTGAGAGTATTGGTTTTACTAAGACGTTTATTATTATTATTTATTTTGTACAGTGGCAAAAATGTCTACGAGAAATCTTGCCTCGATATGTACGTGTGGCAACATTTCTGAAAGGAAATTTTGTCTAGATGACACTTTAGGAGGTTATTTTTCGATTTTTTAAGCGGTTTTCAAAATATCTAGAAAATCCCGAGAGAAATCTTAAGAAAACCGGAAAATGTATGAAAATATTATGCAAATACTACAAGTCTCCTGTCCTATAGTTATAGGTACCATCATGTACTATAATATTATTACGTATTATTACTTTTTTTCATATCAACAATAACAATTGTACAATAGATTATTTTCAGAAGTACATAATCGACTAAATGGGTATGGGATTTTAGAAAAAAAATTATGATTAATGATTATACAGAGTGATTCAGTAATCGTGCTCACCCCATATTTTCGGCTAAATTTCACGTATACTCAAATTCTGATTTTTGGAATTTTTAAATGTACTCAAAGCCGATATTTTCGAATACTAGGATTTTTTACGACATCTAAGCAGTATCCCGCGGTAATACCGCGGGATACTCCTTTCCGTTCATTTTTCAAATGAAAGCCTATGTTCAAAATTCCACCAATATATACCAGAGCGTATTACTATCTAACCAAAGTTGGTATCGCCACAGGCAGCTCCTTAAATGTCATGAAAAATCGTAGTATTAGAAAATATCGGCTTTAACTACACTTAAAGGTTCCAAAAATCAGAATTTGAATACATGTAAAATTGAACGAAAAAAAAATTGGGCTGAGCACGCTTAGTGAATCATATCATGTATATCATATTGTCAATATTGTTTCAACGACAACAACATATTATTTTTTCTGATATTCAAATTTGTGTGAAAAATAAGAGAAATACTTGTGGGGCATTCGAATTTTGGTGAAACAAAAAAAGTACTTCGAATGTATTCGATTTTGATTAATAAACGTGTCCGAATAATTTTACAAGACCGGGCCCGTAACTAAACCGACCCGCGCGTTTCTATTGCAGAACGATTACATTATGGTGAACAATATGAACAAAATGGACACGTTCTGGGCATTTCTGATGGGCCTGATAACGGCGTCCGTAGTGATACTGGCGATATGGTTAATAGTGTTCGGCTGGTGCGGAGTGAATAGACTGGAAAATGACACGGAGTGCATGTGCGACGTTTCCAGCGAAAGTTTTGGCGGAAAAATCGCGTCATACAACAGCGACCGCGTTGAAAACACGAACAAAAAAACGTTCAATAAATATTACAACAAATGGCGACACTGCGGTAGTACGCAGTAGATACCGTCGTCGCCGAAAAACAAAATATAATAATAATCGTCTTTTAGACGTCAGAATATTAAGTCTTCCGACGCATAAAATACATATGTCGGTCGTCCAATCGTAAAACACAGCGAATCCGCTAATTTTACATCGGAGTGATTTGTCCGTCGCAAGACGTTTACACTACGTCCACAGGCGACTAAGTTTCAATAACCCACCCATTGAAATTTCAAAGTATAATTCCAGAGAGAATAATTGTAATATTTCGATACGAAAGTGTGTGTGATATCAAAAATTCCGTGCAATTCGATTTTAATGAGAATAATATCGAAACACGAAAACGATTGATAAGATTGGCGTGCACTGTGTTTTATGATAATTAGACGGCCGTAGTACGCCGGGCTACGCGTAACATTTTCCTTGAAATTCAATCGACGAAACGAGTAATAGCCAAACAATTGTATCTGTATGAGACCAAATAAAAACTAAAAAAAAAAAAAATCGAAAATGTCGAATGCCTCGAGAAAATCACCAAAACATGTTTAAAATATACTGCGTCTAGAAAAATCTAATATTAGGATTCTGTAAAAATTGCAGGTCTCTATTTTTTTTCCAAATGACCATAAAAAAAAAAAAAAAAACAAATTCGAAATAATAATACCGTTAATGCTGTACATTTTCAGTTTTTCTTACAGTTTTTTCCAATTATTAAGTAAATGACAGTAGGATAATAATAATAAAGCAACAATAAAGAGAAGCAACTATACAGATTTGAATTTCTATATAAAAAAAGAATAAACTCTGTAATCAGTTTTTGATCGGAACAAGATTTTTTGTAAAAAAGTTGTACACACACACACACACATTAAAAAATAAATACTAAGAATAATCACACGTGATAGTAAAATCAATTCATTCGTCGCTACGAATATAAAACCACTCGTACAATAAACGGACGTGCGCGCGTGTGTACATAATATTTTTTAATCAGTATTAATCGTATAATAGACATTAATTATAATTAAATAGTAAAAAAAAGAAAACTGTTCATATTCAAATATTGAATGACACTGGTATTTTAGATTGTGAGTGGAGCGAAGAAGCTTATGTTTTTACAAAGATGTGTATTTTTATTTTTTTATTTATTTTTTTAATCTATGCGTATTTTTTTTTACTAGAAATCTCACTCCGTTTATTTTTGAGTGTAGCACCTTTTCCGTAAGAAAATCGGCGTGGAAAGAAATTTAAGGAGATAAATGTTCGATTCTCTTAGGAGTTTTCTTATTAAATTTGAAAAACCAAAAAAAAACTGAGGAAAAATGGGAAAATGTAAAAAATGTTAGTATTACTTAAAATATATTAAGAACTTCTCTTTTCCCGTGAACAACTTTTTTCCAGCAATTTTGCTCCAATTTATAATAATAGCAATGTTTCTAAAAGGAAATTGCACTGGGGAAGTACTTAAAAGAGATCATGTTTTGATTTTCTCAGGAATTTTCTCATCAAATTTGAAAAACCAAAAGAAACGTAGGAAAATCGGTACAACATTAAACAAATATTATTAAAGTAATAATTAAATCCTATTAAATTATTTAAACTATTATATGACATATATATTGTTAAAAAAACATCACTGTCGACTGAACTCCGCTCAGAATCGTTTTTCGTAAACAACGTGCACCAATTGCCACCGTGTATAAACACCTATATCAAAATATTTCAAACACAAATTCGTGGGAAGGACTACTAAAACTTATTTTGACATTTTTACGTTTTACCGCGCATAAATCAATTTGTGAACCATAGCAAATTGCCTAATATCCATACCACGGATTAGGATGGTTCTTATTTTTGAACTTAAACAATTTTGTATTGCAAACCCGGAATTTGATAGGCGCATTGTGAAAATAATTTTTGTAAAATTTTGGGTATGATAAGTCGGTCCCTTCACGTACCTAAAGAGGGGTTGTGTTTTGGATTGTTTACATTTATTTTTATCATACACAAAATATATCAAAAACTTTGTTATTATAAAAAAGATTTTCAAAAAAAAAAAATAGATTTTTTTAACTTTTCAGTGAAACTTACCGTTGTTTATAAAAAATCGTTTTGAAAGTCGGTAGATTTATAACAGAAAAAATTAAAGATTATGTAAAATTTTAAACCAACCAACTTTTAAATCGATTTTTTACACATTATAAAGGTAAATTCCACAAAATAGTTAAAGAGTACTTTTATAGAGGAAATATTTTTTATAATATTTTTAAGTTTTTGATCTATTTTTCGTATGTTAAAAATTTTAAAAAGTTAATGTAATAACCGTTCCCTATTTACAAACTTCAACCTTTTTGAGGTATCTTACCCAAAACGTACACAAATTATTTGTACAATGTACTTTACAGAATTTCGAGCCCGCAAATTCAGATATTCGACATTTATTTCCAAAATCTAAGGACCATTCTAATATGGATGCTAACGCCCGTGCAAAATATTATGGTATTCGTGATTATCGTTTCCAACAGTAAAATACAGACAACTGTAATACGTCTGGAAAAGAGACTCGCATGAGTATTTTGTGACGTGAAGTTTTTACGGAATTTTTTTTTATTTATCGGTTTGAGTCTTCCCGAGTTCTCACCCACAACAGTGGTCCACCCATCGGTGTAAAGTATGCCCGTTCGTTTTAATTGCAAACTACATCGAGGTGCTAATAATATAATTTTCAAGCACACGTCCGAATTCAATTCGACTTCGACAAGAGCACAAGACTATCGGGTGTTCGCTTACAATGGCATAGCTGTAAGTGCGCGTTTCGCGTCGGATTGTGCTGTAGGTATTCGTATGCGTACCCACACCCAACATACACACTCGGCGTGGATATTTCGTAATTTCGGAACGGAAACGCGTATCGTGTGTCGCAATGTCGTTTGCGGGGGTGAGGGCGTTTGGGAAACGTCGGGTTCGCATCCGATATTCCACTCTGGGCGGACAGGACGCGGCGGATTTACGAAATCGCGAGCGGTAGGGGCGAAACCGAGAGACGCGCCGATATTACAATACAGCTGGCCGCGTTGTTATATTGGAATTTTTGTAAACAGATAGCGTTGTCGACGGGAAACAATAATAATATTATAATAACGTTCGTATACTGTGTACACCGTGTCATAATACTGTTATTATTGTCACTACGGTGTGTTCGGGAATTCGATTGTAACGTTAATTTGAAACGGGACGACTGCCGCGCGCGGATCGCGCCCTCGGGAATTCGCGTTCTTAATTTCGATATTACCGTCGGGATACTCGTCGTCGCCGTCGCCGTACGGCACATACCTAATACCTAATAATGTACGTAAGCGTATCGGATTGCAACTCGTCGTCCCGAGTGCAGCCTATACCTAAAATATATCACGGGACGGTTTTAATTAAAACACTGAAGTAGGATTGTCGTTTTCGGTTTTTCCGTTCGTTTTAATTTAAAAAGAAAATAAAAATCGCGCGCGGATACGCCGGAGAACCCTCCGCGTGTCTTCGGGCCGTCGTGCCGCCGGCTCCGGTTCGCGTAGACTCGAATGGCGGAAATATTTCCGTTTGGATTTTTTGTTAGGACTTTCCTGTTACACGAGACTACACCTTGTTTCGCAATCCTGTTATCTAATACTTCCGAAATTCGCCCGATTTCCTATGCTATCGCACACTATACCTTACTTTTTTATTTATATTAACAAACACACTAAATGCCAAACGCACTCTTTTCACTTATAGGAAGGCGAGCAAAAATTTACCTACTTACAAAACTGCTACCATACAAAACTCCCCTTAAGCCGATCTTGGTCTTACGGAATCCAACCGCGGGAACAGCAAGAAAAATCTAACATCTATAAAATCCAAACATTCCAATCGACCTCATTACGAACGATTACGTGGGTTCCTCCGCGTGTTTCATATCACACTTTACATTCGGACTTAAAAATTCCTGTACATTATTCCGTGCCCATCTCACGAATCACTCTAACACCCATTAATCCTTGCTCCAAACTCCGAATCCGTTCCGGAAATTTCAAGAAAGTTAAAGCGAAATTGGAACCGTGACCTAAAATGACACTAGCTCTCTCTAGCCAGTAAGTATTGCCGCTGCAGTGCAATTACTTCATCCCGTCAACCATGCCAATGTTTATGTAAATCCTCAAACATGCTTATTGTAAACATTTATTTATAGATTGTATGTATTAAAAATAATAAAAAAAAATTATCAACAAATCATATTCAATTGTTTGACGATTTTTTATAATATGATGTATTGTGGGAATGGCCACATTCGAATTGTATATATAAAAAAAAAAATGAAATAGAGAAAAGATTTAAATATGAGACGTACGCGGTACAAACCACACTTGGCGTACGGTCACAGACAGACTGAAAGTAATAAATAATAATACAAAGATTAATATTATCGGTTTTTTTTTTCCGTCGATAACACAAACAAAAATTGGTAAATCCGCAAACAAAATAATAATTATTATCGTTACAGCGTAATATGTCAAATATAAAAAAAAAAAAAAATGTTTAATAATAAATGGAATCCATACAAAAATCATGTGTTTTTTTTTATCGCGATTCATTATAGTAATTGGGGAAATTGGAATTTTACTGTTTTTAATATTTCGGTAAATTCACCTTCTTTCGCGTTTCGTCTAACAATATAGACAGTGATCGATAATAATTGTAAATTGCGACGCTAATAGCGGTAGCCGCGATGACGGAGGTAGTCTTGGGTGGTAGTCGCGATACTAGCTGTATTCTCGTATTATAAATTATAGGAAAGCGCCGATTCTTTTTTTTTTTCATCGCGAAATCTACGAGCGCAACGTCGTAATACACGGGCGCGTTCGGATTTGTCCGTCGAATTTCGGTAAATTCGGCCGCGGAGAGGAAAACGTACAATAACACTGTACGGCGTGGAACGCGTGTAAAAAAAAAAAAAAAACATTGGCGAAAAACGATTACGATTATAGAAAATC